TTAAACAAGGAATATTATTAGGCAATGATTCAGGATAACATAGGCTACATTGCCTTGTATTACTTTTAGCTTGCAGAAGCCACTTTGTTTTAAAAACTCATTTGAAGAGATCTGTTAGATGAGGCCATTTTCAATTTAATTGGAAGAGACTATTTCATGTTTTCTTAAGTGGCATGGTTTGATTTTATTATTTTTTTTTTCCATTTAACGCAAGTGTGGGTTTTTTTTTTCTGTGTAATTAATATGTAAACAAAACAAACAACATTGCAAATCTGTTTTCTTTCCCTATTTCTTTCTCTTTTTCCTTTTCTCTCTCTCTCTCTCTCTCTTTTTTTTTTTTTCCCTGCTGATTCTCCGATTTGGCTGAAATTACATACTAAAACAAAATGTGTATTTAATTAGATTGTGTACAGATGATCCAGTTAGAATCTCCAAGAAAGAATTTTTAGGGAACTAGTTGATTTCATATGAAAAAAAATAATCAGATGGAAAAGAGTGAAATACATAAAAAGGAGAAAACCATACCATCAAGGTATTTAAGCACTAAAATGCTGCCCATAAATTAGAGATCACGATATCCCCTTTCCTTCTCTCTCCTTCTCATTACTAAGGAATGGATGGAAAGGTTTGCATTTTTAAACAATCCACAGTTGTAGGGTACTTTTGAAAGAAACTATAGGTGAAATGACAGCTTTTCTTTTATTGCAGAATGAAATACTAACATATATCTTTTGTTTCTTACAAGTTCATCAAATGTCTTCTGAATCTAGTTACAGATTTCCTTGATTCACATCAGATTTTACAAAAAAATCGATATCAATAAAACACAAAACTAAAAGCTGGAAACCACAATGAGGAACATTGACCATCTGGATAAATATGACTGATCTGGAAAGAGTTAAAATGGTTTTCGTAAAGGGAAGACTCACAACTGCAAGGCTGTCCTTCAAAGGGATCAAGAAATACAAGAATAAGAGTGATCTAATTGATCTTGGATTTACACAAGGCTTTCAACAAATTCCTTCACCAAAGACTTTTAAGAAAACTAAACAGCCATTACTGTAACATGGCTTAAAAATATAAAGGTGATGCACAATTGAGATAATTATTATTTTTTAATATAATTTTAAAAAGTATGAGACAGCTTCTTCTATAAAGAATGACTAGTTATTCTGTTTATCTTCCCTTGAAAAAAGAGGACTGAGGTGAATACGACAGTTGTCTATAAAATAAGTAGCTTAGGGTGGCTGGGCACTTATTGTTGAGTTAATTCTGGTATAGGAAGCAGGGGATGTCAAATGAACCCATAGGATCGAGACTCAAACAAGAAGAGGTGATTCTTCATATCATGTATGGTTGGGGATTCCTTTCTACAACAAGCTATCAATATCAAAAGTTATGTGGGCTCAAAAGCAAGCAGGAATAAATCATGGAAAAGAAATTCATAACTGTTATTAAATACACAGAAACTGCATTTGGCTGAAGAATTTCACCTGAGGAAAGTAGTGTACATGTCCCATGTTCTTGTTCTTTTTCATAAACTGTCGTTTTTTTACCCCTTGCAAGGATATACATTCTCACTTAGGTCTAAGTACTACTACTTAGCTAGTTCTACTTTACTATGGCTCATCAATGCTACTGTGCTAAATTTTTTGACTGGCAGTTCTTGAAAGCAGATGAGCAGTTGGGAGTTTGACCTGGATTCTTTTTCATAAAGATCTTATCGCAGAAGATCAAATTTCAAGCTAAAGTTTTGCCTGTATTTGGGCACAGATGAATGTTGGGTAAGCTCTGGCATTTGTAATGTGATGACTTTCTAAAGTTAATTTTTGTTGCATAACATTTTTATCAGTCGTTGCCTACAATTGAATGTTTTGGTTTTAGAGAAAATGATGGAGATGAGGGCAATGCCTAAATGTCTGTGTTTCCTGTTAAATTTGAAGTTTTCAGTAATCTCCAAAAATTATCTCTGAAATGATGCAATTTATTTGTGCCATAGAGACCAAATATCAACCAAAATGTCATAAACCCCACAAATGACTCCACTTTTATGATAATGTGTCCAGTTTCTGACCAGCTTTTAGAAATCCCAAAGGATGCAGAGAATGCACAAGAAGATAAGAATACTATTAAAAAGCAAGATAAGCTGAGGCATAAACATTTAAGAAAGTCATATATGGCAAGTGGGAGTAGTTAATGCCTATGAAGCATTATTTGATAGAGATTAGGACACAGGGAGCTTTGTATCTCCCCATTATGGGAATAGCTTAGTTACAGAGTTCAATTTCTTTTCTTTTTTTTTTTTTTTTAATTGAGAATCAAGCAACAAGTTCTCTCTTATGAGAAAAAAAGCTATTAAATAGGAATAGGTTTGAACTGTTGTTATAAAAACCCCTCAACAGACTACTAGGAAAGAAATATATATTTATTTCTATCTCTGTTCTCCTGTGAGGACTTTCATCCTTGTCAGTTTAAGCAAAGGACACCACAGTTTAAATGTTCCAAGTCAAAAGCTTTGACATCACCTGATTACTCCTTTCTTTTTTAAATATTATTTTCACAGCTTGTTCTAGAACTGTCAATACTACACGATATAAATAAAAACTCAGGGCTTAAAAAAGAATTTCTACGTGGAGATCAGAGGTCTTAGCACCACTGATATTACATATTGCTGCTGCTTCCACTGAACTGTGGAACACCACATAATTTCACAAACAGAATTAAGTAGAACATTAAACAAATACTGAAACGTTCAGCTTTAAGAATCCAAAATAAAACTTATTTTTGCCATTGAAGAGAGATTTCTCCAATTTCCTCGCAGTGATTTTGGCCAAAATCATTGACATAATTTTACATATCAATTTTCTGTTGTCTTTTGTTATACCAATCAATTTTGAAGTGCTTCTCTCTGCTCTTTTGCCACAAAGATGACAAATAGATTAAAGGTGGGACTAACATCAGAGAAGACCAACTACTGGTATTTCACCAACTGTATGGAGATACTTCACTTGTCACATAAAAAAAAAATCAAACTGTTCTGATTTATTTTTTCCAAGTGAGTGATGATTAAATAAGCTTGTTCTACATTATCATTTTACACAGTTCTCCTGTTTGGTGAAAAGAGATAAAACTATCTATACCTAGTAAAAGTTCCTGTCAACTATGTGACCGTTCAGATGCAGAAGAGTTTAATTACGGTACACTTCACCTTGTTTTCTACAGTAAGTTTTCTGAGACATTCATAAACAGAGATCAGATTTGATTGTTCCTTTTTACCAAAATGATAAAAAAAATAGCCTAGTACAAACTCAAAAGCACCCTAGCAGTAATGAAACTATAAATTTTCTTACAAATAAAATATATGAAGGGCTGATGATCTGTAAGATTTGTTTTCCTAAAAAAAAAACCCAACCAACCAAACACCCTAGTTTTGTATTTTCTGGAGTACTGGAGGCATTTTTTGCCGCTAGATGCCTCAGAATTTTACTATCACAAAAGTATCTATAACAACTTCTATCAGTAAGAAAATGAGAGAATTTTATCTACAGCAAGATTTTGCTCAGGGAAAGATTAAAAAAAAAAGTCTGCTATAGCAACAGATCAACATTGCAGAAGATAGTAAGAATCAGCTAGCCCTCTTGAACTGTTATTTTAAACCAGGCTTTTTTTTCACTCAAATGTTGTCTAGCAAAGCTCCTTTAAAGACTATTCCCTTTCTGAGTATGGTTTGTCTGGCAGAGCTTTTTTTGAAGTATTTAATTTTATGTCAGACCATGCTTCTTCTGCTTCTCCTGAGCCTTTGACTTGTAGTCAGTAAAAGAAAACACTCTACCTTCAAATAAATCCTAACATAGAGATAGTGACATTCTTCCTCTGTTTGTTGAGGGAACTTGTCTCTACCCAGTCTTTGGGTTACCTTAGTGCCTTTACATGTCTGATGAAGGGCTCAAATCCCCTAAAGCTTGCCTACTTTCTTCATAGTATTTCATTCTAACAGAAGACTCTGCCTCTACCTCAGTATTTTGCTAAATGGTTTTTAAGGAACATTGCTATAGCAATTGGAAGCATCACTCCATAGACACTGAATTGACAGACAAATAGGCTTAGTTTTAAGCCCTCAACAGCTATCAGCTACTTAGTAACTTAAAAACCAAGTGTTTTCCACTATCCCAACATCTCTGAATACGTTGAACTAGCCATCCAAGACCACTTTGCACTGACACCTTTTAAACCACTCCAATTAGACCTACAGGAGCTCAGCTGTCAACAGTTAGACACTTCAAGTCAGCAACTGTGAGCAGAACTGCATATAGGCCTTGTAATGCAGCAGCTAATAAACTTCACACAGAATCAGTTCTTTTTACGCTTATGATAAGGTTACCTTTTGTTGCTACTGTTGACAGCATCAGTAGAGAGAATTGGTATAACTTCTATCTCATTCCACCAGTTCCTTTCCTTTCCCTGATGGAAAAGGCAGCAGACTGCATAAGAACAGGTATTATTAGGGTCTAACAATGCTTCAGATCATTGCAAAACAGCAGTGGATGCTGAACTAAGCTGAGGCTACAGAGAACCAGTGAAAGAAGCAATTTTAGGACTGAGAAATTGTGAAGTTTTTCCTTTTTTTTGAGAGTGGGACATACCTATAGTGCTGCAGTCAGTGCATGAAGAATGGAAATGAAAATTCTAAAAAAGCTTTCAATATAATTGCATCATTAATTCAGAGGATGTACACAATGCTTCACTTGAAATTCTGCTTTCTTCTTTGTTTTGAGTATGAACACAAGAAATGGGTAAATTTTAAAATGACTGGCACCATTTACTAAAGTAAACTTCTGTCCTAAATCATCATTGAGAAATATACACTTCTTTCTGCATTTGTTTTGATTTAGCTGTCGTGAGAGACTCATGTTTAAACGCAGGCTTTTCTGCCTCATGGCCAAGTCTCTTTGTGTGCATTTCCTAAGTGTTACTTACTTTACTTTGAAGGTGGGCTGAGCATAGGAATCTGACGAAAAAGTGGGCTGTGCCCTTGATCTGAGAGCTCTAACATTCTTCTGAATGAATACATTTGCTAGTGCAGTACGCAGCAGCTGCAACAGTGTGGTGCTCTGGGTCTCCAGCTCTGCCTCAGGCTCGCTGAACATCTGCAAGACAATTTTTTTATGTTCTGTAAATGAATGCTGCCTAATTGCACCAGGAAAATGGGCACAGGGGATTATATCTGCATTGCTATGAGCGGAGGGGCGCCTTGGGGCTTTAGATTGCAAGGTGGCAAGGAGCAAAAGCAGCCTTTGCAAATCGCCAAGGTAGGATCATGAGATGTTGTCAGTGTTTTGTGGACATGAGTGAAGAGAATAGCTTGCTAACTATATATTGTCTCCAGTGAAATTGTTTGTGTGGATCGTATTGAGATGTTTGTTTGACTGTACTAACATGTTTTGCAGGGATTATACAGGTGCTGATTGTGTTTGTTTCAATAAAAGTATTGATTACTTTTTGAGAGTTAACAAGTATTGCAAACGTTTTCATAAATATAAAAGATCTAAAACTGAGATGATGTATGCCTTTCAGCTCCTAAATAATTTGCTGCATGTTTTTGAGTGCACTCAGCATATTGCAAAACTGAATCTCATATTAGGAAATGCTGTTTCAGTCATTTATTTATGATACTTCTCCTCTCTAGGCAAAGAATAAGTACACCTTTATCATGAGAAAATGTTCTTACTATTTTGGGAATCCCAGAAAGAATTACACCAAGTTATCTCTGTTTTTGGAAAGTTATCCGGTCTTAGGAGCAGCCTTAATAGAAACCAAACATTTCCTTTTATATTTCATGAACAGCACTGAAAATTACTGAACGGCTCATAAATTATCATCATGTATAAAATGAAAGCAAAACAGATAGTAGAGAAGTTCAGAAAAAATAAAAATAAGAACTGGTAACCCTCAGCCACAAAAGTAATACTTTGAAAGTGCTCTTAAAAATCAGTGCTCATTCCATTGCAACAATGATGATTAGTCATAGTTATTGAGGCTTATGTAACTGTATGGAACTGTGTTCTGTTTTCCTAGACAAGGGGGACAAATTTTGTCTGGAGCACTGGGATCAGCAAAATACCATTGGCTGAGACCATACTGGGACTGCTCACCATGTAATGAATTCTGCCCCATTAAATTGAGAGAGATTAAAATATATAAAAATAGGCAGAGAAACAAGATGCCGAGGGATTTACAGATCACCTTTTAGTTCTTGGTAGTCCCAGTACACTCAGTGTTAAGTTTTTTGAATTTATTTATATTATTTTAGGTCAGTAGCTCAGTTATTGAAGCTCTAACTTTCTTAACCTGTCAATATACTTCTTAATTAGTCACATTTAATTTACTGGATCAGTTAACTTTTTCACAAATAGCACAACAATATGTGAAAATCTACTTCATCTTATAAAACAAAGTCTTTTTAGTTCCTTGGTCAAGGAAACATCATCTTTTGCAATTATTTTCAATGATTTTAAGTCCATAGTGTTAACCATAGTCAATAATAGAACTATTTTTATTGTGTTTATGTATCCGTTTCTTATTAGTGGGTTTTTTTTTTTTTTTTTTTGGTGTTCTAATATTTTGCTCAACTTGAACATGTTTTAAAAGATTTCCTACCGATAGGCAGCTGTTGCTTTGCACATAAAGCTCCTGGTAATAGATAACAGTGGAGTCCTGCCATCTAGTGAAAATTTATAGCTAGAACTTCAAAAATTGTAAGTAAAAGAAAGGCAACTGACATTGATTATGTAAAACTGAAAGTAAAAAGCATAGAAACTTGAACACAAGATTACGAATAAGTTTCTCTGACAAGAAAAAATAGGCTATACCAGATACTTTTCTTTTTCATGTCCACATCCTAGACAGCAGCCCTTAAATCTGGCATCTCTCTTACCACTTGGGGCTTGAGAAGAAGATGCATAGTAACTGTTGTGACTTTGCACTTTTTCCAATGGGAATAGCTGAACTTAGAAAGCTATTTAGGAACTAAAAAGCATGAGTTTGTTCTCTTGAAAATGAAACCAATCAAAAGGCCAATATCATACTTAAGAAGATTCTTAATAAAAGTTCACACATGCCAGCATATATGTGTTATAAGCATGGTGGACTTGATGAGTTCCAGATCATTCATTTCTTCACACTTATTAGTGGGTGAGATCAGCGGGACTTGAAAATTGACACTCGTATCTGGCCAAATACCTGAAACTTAGAGCTGACAGGTCACAGCTTTTTTTGTAGCTCACCTTGTCAGCAGGCTTTGCCATCCTTCCCAGGGAGCTTGGGCTCTCTCAGAGGTACACAGACCTGGGTCTGCAGGTCAGGAACCACCACCAGGCTGAAGCTCTGCGAGGTGGGTGGTCTGCAGAGAGGCAATGTTTCCAGCTTCTCTTTCGTTATCCTTGAAAACTGACACTAGTAGCACATGGAAGATTGAATTATTCCCCAACTACTGCATACTAATTTTTGCCACTGGCTCTAAGATCCAAGGATAGCGTTTCCCAAATACAGTTTATAAATATATATAAGTACTCTACTGGGGTATATGAATGTAGATCCAGTTGCCAATGTACACCAATGGAGGTTTTGCCAGAAACGTGTGCATCTGCTTTCAGTATCTCAGCTCACAGATACTGGGAGAGCTGGAGGGGGTTTGCTCTTGTGGTTGCTGAACTCAGCTTCAGTGCTGTAAATCTGTGAATCACTGCAGTGGGAAGTACATTCAGGCACTGGTCACAAGCAGAGCACTGGCTGTGATACAGATTTAAAGGAGGGAGGGATATATCACAGAGGGAAGTGAGACAATCCAAGAAAACACGGCAGGATATAAAAATCCTGAATTCACACTTACCTACAATTTGGTAAAGGAAAAACTCTGTGTTTAAAACTAATGAAATAAGTCATAGTTCACTAGCAGAAAGAACTTCTACCATCTTTACTCATACTCCCTTTGAAAATTTCTTTTTTCATCAAAAATGCCTATTTTTTATTGCCTAGCTCTTAAAATGTATATGTAAGTAGATTCCCACTAAAATCAATGAGAGTTTTGTCTGATATAAAATGATCATGCTAAGTTTTAATAGAGAGATAGAGACGAACTTTTTGCCTTCCCAAGAAATATCTTGGTATTCTTTTCTCATCAGCACATAAAATAGGAAATATTCATCAGCAAATAACTTTTGAACCATTACAAGATTCAAGATACTTCAATAATTTGCTAGATGTGAAATTGACACAAATGGACATTTTCTTTAAAGTATCACAAAATATTACATTACTTTTTCCATTTGTAACTCTTATCCAAAACAATAAGTTTTAAAAACATTTGATACCTCTTTCATAGAGGCATACAAAATGTTAACCCACTCTCCCACTCAAACATTGGATCCTGAAAGCAACTTACTTTTTTGCGCCCACTAATGTTGCAATTAATGAAAAATTATTTTCCATTAAAAAGAATTTGCAGAATTTCATACCGACCAAATACATAAAAATGACTTTAAAATACCTTTTTAAAGTACAGTATCAAAGGAGACATTGTGCTAAAGAAAAATATCTCATAAATGAATCTTCTGGAAATAAAAAAGATGATTGGGAATATTACACTAAGGGAAGAAGCGGTAGATCTGGCTATGCTGTGTATGCACCACGACAATAAAGCATGTCAGTACTGCACCGTAGGGTAGCTTCACCAGAGCAAGAGGCAGTTAGGAAATCTCAATACAACAGTAACCCTAGATGGTTAAGAATTCAAAATATATAAGAGCAAAGCGACATGTGGTGTGCCTTTTGCTTCCACCATGACATACATGAAAGAATGCTCCTTCTGAATATCACAGATTTTTCTTTCCTTGTAAATATCTTTGCAGTTTTTAATTTATAGAATATATAAAACCTGTTGGTACAAAATGAGACGATTTTCTGGACTAGCACTTAAAAGAAAGCCCTATGAGTTTTTCTGCTAATACTCAACAATATCAGCCACATTATATATATTGAAGCTGTATCCTTTAAGACGCATCTCTTTTGCAACAAGTAATTTAAAGGAGTTGCCTATAGAATTATAAACAAATATCATCTATCACGACGTATCTGCATTAAAATTACTGGTTATAAACAGATACATTATTCAACATATTAATTCATTACCTGCACCAAAGCAGCAATTTGATGAACTCACTGTTTTTACCTGTCAAAATATTGGTAATTTAAGATTGGGAACTTATCTGAATATTTCTAGTATTCAAAGTGATAAATTCCATTACTTAGACCTCTAACCACTTCAAAGGAAATTCAGTCTTTTTTTCTCATATTGCTATCCTAAAAGCAAAAATGAGCAGGTGCTTAAAAATCCTTATGACCAATGGCATCATAGATTTTCATGCTTGAGACACTGGAGGAACTAATGTGACTAAGTGAGGTGTCTCACTTGTTAGTGATTTCAGATACTGTCAGTTCCAGAGCTATTCTGATTAATATGTACTAAACATGCACATTTCTACATACATCAGCAAGAAATCTTCAAAGGGAATTGTGTCCTGTTTTATGTCACAAAGATACGAAGAAACATGCAGTGAATTTTTAAATTGCTGATAAATCTTATATAATTTTTCAGAAACTTTTTTAAACTGCATTTTTTAGAAAAATAAAATAGTAACATTTTTCCTCTTAATTTCAACCATACCAGTTTGCTGGTGCAAATTATAATGCCTATTTTCTAACATTTCAAGTTATCTGAAAAATCTTAATGGTTATTTTAAAGGTTTTTTTTGTTTGTTTGTTTGTTTTTAATTCTTTTGAAACTCAATCTTTGCCATGCTCTGATTGAAATTTTCTTACATCAGAAGATGCAAAATATCATGCAATTTTCATTGTCTTGTAAATGTTAACTATAGTCCAAATTAATCCTACAATATGCCTTTATTCAGGCTTCAAATTCAACAGTCTCAGCTAGGTCTCATGCGCAACCTTTACATTTTGTGACTATTTTGCCAGGTTCTGAAATAGGCTTCTACTGCTGCTGCTGTTCAGTTAGTGGCTTTATTTTTGCCTTAGTAATGATATACGATAGCTGGCTTCCTGGTCATTTTGTATGCGTGCATCTGATTTCAACCCTCTGATTTCAATCCCAGTGTCAGTTTTGTCATTTTGGATTCAATAGATCTTGAAATTGAAAGTGAAACTCAAAGAATTGGCAACAACTTGAATGAACAGTGTGAAAAGTGGTATCTGGATTTGATTAATGCTGGCTGTTTACAGAGGTGGGCTCTAC